AAAGTGCGCAAAACTTTTGTAAATTGATTTTTAAAAAAATGGTTGCCAAACTAATATAGATATACCTATAAGGAAATTAAACGAAGAAAAATGTTCGATCTTTTTTCGCTACAAAAAAGCCATTATTTGTTACAATGGCTCAGCAAGCGATTGTTGTTGTTGTTTTTGTAGGCCGTCTACAGTGCTGAGTGGGGAAGGGGGCGGGGTGAACCCCAATACTTCTCCAGTAATCCTTGACGGCGTTTGTATCTCTCTGTTTGACGTGTAGTTTTGGGTCATTTCCAAGGGTGGCCTTCCGCTCGTCAACCCAGATGGGCAATGCAGGAATACGTCTTCTGAGGCCTGTTCTCCGTTGATTCTGTGGGGACAGATTGGGTCATCAACTTGGGTCATAGTCCGTGTCTATGTTTTGTTGCTTGAACGAAGGGCGCCCTATTCAGCCTGATTTTGTTCATGGTGATTTCTTCTGCACTACTTCTTTAATCTGTCGACATGGGCTGCCCTCTGATTGCTGTGCGTTGGAAGTGATCTAATGCGACTTGATGTAGATAGTCTTTTAGGCGGCGGTCATCCCAGTCTATATTTAGGGCCTCTCTCGATTTGGTCATCTCAGCAATCGATTTGGTGATTATGTGTCTTTCTACTGGCAAAAAACTTTTGATGACCCAGATAAAAAGCAAAAATTGACAAAATATGCCTCAACTAATAATATCAAGAATCTTGTCACAATATGCCAAAATATGAGTTTTTCTCCCTCAAGGAACCATTGAAATGATGCAACGAGGGTTGCCGAAAATACATCATACCTTCATCAGATGGTTCGTTGTCTTAACAGCCAGATAAAATAGCGTAAATTAAAATAATAGGGAGGGTGACGAAAAAAAAAAATAAAGCGGTGGGGAGGCGTACGTATGAGGAGTAAAAAAAAGTGTGCGAAAACGGACGGAAGTAGAAAAAAAACAAATAAATTACAAAAAATGGCTTATATTAGGAACCATTTGGATAAATGAGAGTTCTAATCTCATCTGCTCTACTTTACTGTAGAAACCATCCCCAACGTATTAGACGAGCCATGACCATTGAAAAAACAGAAGCGTTCTAATATTATGCGAAAAGTAAGACATGTCTATCATAGTGCTGATGTGAACTTTACTCGCGTTTTCCTTAAGTTGGTTTGCAACTAAACTCAAAAACATTGTTCAATGTTTCATCAGAGTTTCTATCGTACAAATAAAATTGCGTTTTTGAGCCCTGAATTGTCAACCAAAATTGAGTCAATTTTTGAACAAATGTTGACCACATGATTTTTTCAAAGTTTGTTGACAATTTTTATTTACCGAAGAAAATTGTTTTTCCTTAAACAGATCTCAAGAGATTACTCATTTTTTAAAACTTTGGTGCGTAATGTAGGAAGCTTTTTTGAAAAAATAAGCGCGAAAATTATTTGGTAGTTTTTGCGTTATTGGTGATGGTAGTTACTTGATAGTTTTAGCGACGGACTAAAATGAATAAAAAACAGTTGTTTTTTGGGTAAAGTTCCGTTTTTGACTTTTGCAAAAAAAACTTACAACATATAAATTCTGCAAGAATTTTCATCAGCATTTGTTTTCATTGCCATATTTGTTCATTGGCAACCAAAATGGGAAAACTGAGCTAAAAGTTTTCAATTTAATTTTGTCCTGCATTTTTTATAGCATTGAAATACTGAAATTGTAAAATTTTGGGTAGCTTCAATCAATACAGTTATAACTGAATGAAGCAAAACAGTTTAAAAAATTTGTGGAAATTTATCATGAACTGTACTGTTGTTAAGTGAAATGACTCGGAATTTTTAAAAATTCACCTCTATACGTTTATATAAAAAAACAGAAGCAAGCCATTTTCAATACATTTTAATTCCCAACTATTCTGATAGAATTAGTGACCAAATTTTACTAAAAAACATTCCAAAAAAAAACTTTTTTTTCTCCAGAAATTTACAAATTAAGCTGAGATAGTTTTGTCTCAAAAAAGAAATTTAACAAATTACCCTGCTGGTAGCGCAGAAGGTTCTGACCAGTTTTCAAAGTACAAAATTCAGAAGAAACGCTTGCTTTAACTTTTTTGTCCAATTTGTGTTAATTGTTTTTGCTCGTTTGAAAATCAGGGAGATATAAAACTGAATTGTTATGGGGCAAACATTTTCGTGAACTAGTTCTTAAAAGTCTAAACTGAAAACGGGTCAATAAAAGAATACGTGTTAAATGCTAGATCAGTTTTAGAGCAAAAATATAGTAAAAGAAGACTGATAAATACCATTAAAAATTGATAAAAAATACTTTCTAATTAATATAGACAAAAACCAGCGAAAGTACTTTTTAATTCAGTCATACTTTGAAATGTTCAAACCTCAATTTTCACTCAGAAACTTTTTTCAACAAATAAGTTAGTTTATATATCTTGAAAAAAACAAATTTTTGCTTCATCTGGTTGCTTTACTCGCTAAAAAAATTATTCCAACTAGTTTATCTCGACAGTGAGTAAATTTCTATGAAAATTGTTTAAAAAATTTCATTTTTGACCGAATCACGACAGGGATTTTATATGATATATCATCGCTCTAATATGATATATCGCTCCTGTCTGAAGTTGCATATGATTTTGCGTGGAAATTTTTTTTTATAAACTTGTAAGCATACGGAGTTCCTTCCTACTGTTTCAGAGGTAGAAAAAACCGTAACCACATTTTTCAATTCACAGAATCAGGCTTAAAAAAGTTATTTTACGATAAAAATTACATTTCAACGCAAATTGAGCAAGGAAGCGATTCAACAGATATATTTTACCATGAATCAACTGAATTGGCAAAAGCCAAAATACCCAAAACAAATGCAAAAACGGAAAACATGCAAAAGTTGCCCTGCTTTCTTCTCTGTTTAAAGATTACCATCTATTTGTAAAAATTATTAACTTTTATCTAGATCAAATCGAAAAAATTATTTTAACCAGCTAAAATCAGGAAAGCATTAATAAACCTACGAAAAACTAAACCAAAACTCTAGAACTTTTTATCAATATTACAAAATTATACAACAAACTCTAACACTAATTATTGTAAGACTCTCGATCGAAAATTTTGTCTTGAAACAAACATTATTGATTAATAAAAAAAGTATCAATAAAAAGGACGCTTTTAATCCACTGAACTGCATCTGAATTTTGCGGGTGATTTTTTTGACAAGTCATTTGCTCAAAAATTGATGAATAAATTTCAAACGATGTAAAAAAATCGCGAAAATAAACTGGAAATACATGAACAAATTGAGAACTCTCAGCGAATGAAAAACAAAACATTCCAACTAAATGAATCAAATTCGTTCAATAAAACTTGAAACATTAGGTGAAAAAAATCAGCTTCTCACCTTTTTTTAAATGCTGTATATAAAGTTAGGGTCCAAGCTTTGACAAAATTGAAGTGTAAATGTCTCACTTTTGAAATGCTACCAGTGAGGTTAGAGTCGATTATTTGTAATCTAATTTGATCTCAATCATCCAAAACTGAAATAATGCGAATCTTATCTCATCACAAAGAAAAATTTTCAAGCTAATTTTTACAATGCTCCGTCAAGCTTGAATTGTCATCGCCAGTAGAAGAAAAAGAATAATATAAACGAACGTTTTAATTACAGTACAAATAAGCAACCGCATCAATTCAGTAAATTGTATGAAACAATTTAATTCAAATACATGATAAAAAAAAGATGAAAATTATCGGGTTAAGTGGAGTAAATTAATCATTAAAATGCGATGAAAAGCCAACTTAATGAATATTAGCATTAAAAGAAGGCGCAATGAAACACACAAAAGTACAAATCATTAAAACACTTGAAAAACATTAGAAAAATAAGGCTCCCGTATACACAAGTTTTTCTAACAAAAACAAACTCACGCCACGTCTTTGTATGCGTTGATTTTTGATTACATTGCGTGTTACTGGTGTAGAGTTCTTTAGGATTTTTCTTGAGCGTTGCAGTAGCTTTAACAAAACTCCATAATTTCACTGGCAATGAATTCCATTGTTAGAGCGTCAGATGAAAAAAAAATTGAAAAAGTTGAACAGTTATTATCAAGTTTTTTTTGTATGCTTAATTCTTGACTCAGCTGTCGGTAATATTATTCCGTTTGCAAAATCTTTCCTTTAGTTGATAAGATATTGATAACAAACACCATATCTCAGTTCAGTTCTGATGATTGAGTTGCTTTTACGCAGAGCGTCAGAGGACTTTTGTGAATTTTAAAAAAAGTTGTTTCGAAGCCCGATTCAACTGCTCTACTATTGATACCATCAAAGCCGCAAAAATTTGCTATACACACTTCTGCAAAACCCAAATGAGATAAACCTACATTGAAGAATAGGAGCCAAAAATTAGGTGGATAGTTGTTGGCCAACTGTTCCTTTAGTTTTAGTTCCCTGGACCATTTTTGGCAAAAAAAAACAATTTGAAATTGGAATGAGGTTTGATTCTAGAATCGAATCTAAATATTTTTATTCAGCTTTTTCTCTACACTACACAATGATCATTTATGATAAGACGGCTTGATTCTACCTGTTTATCAACTTATTTAAAAATTATTTGAAGTAAGCTTTAGAGTAGACTTTAAACTCTAATAGTCATTCTTGTTATAAAAACTGAAATTATGCCGAGCGCTTTTATCTCGTTGCTGAGAACAACTTTTCAAGCTCATTTTAACAATTTTAGTCAACTTTGAACAGTCAGTGTAATTTGAAAACAATTTCCACTGAAATGTAGAGCATATTGGAATTTGCAATCTATTAAATAAAAAAGGAAATTGAGCAACCCTTTTAGAAATTTCTCGATGGAACAAAGTAGTGTGCAAAACAGTAGAATAGGATTTAGCTCTACTACCCGGATAATAAAAGATCATTTCGGTCGTAATCAGAGGCACAATTGCAGTTATCAGTTATGTTGGTTTTTTTCTCGTTGGTAAACTGTCTTAACGTTCGTATATGCATAATAAACGCTTTGGCTGCTACGGTAACAACACCCGTAGACTTCGGATGATTTCGAGTCGAAATTTCTGACATTTAAAAACAAATAGAAAACTATCTTCTTTTATGAAACATTATTAAATTTAGCGCAATTCAAAATTACTATCAAAATGACGCAAAGTTTCAATCTGTGCTGTGTTGCTTGCGAGCTAGCAAGCTTAACCTCTCCATGTTGGGTCTGTCGGTGGAAAAAATCCCCAATTCTGTCGCTACTTTAGGACTGAAGTTTAGAAAGGCTTCTGGAGTCCATACTGTTATTCGCTCATCTTCTATCATCGCCACTGACCCACTGAGCGACATGCAGTTCGGGTTGCACTGTGGATACTTGCACTCGTCTCCTACTCTGAAACTGCAGCTTCCCCCTTGCGATGACTTCCCGCCTCTTCCTGCATCCAATCCAGGGTTGTTCATGTTGCCGTTAAGAACTTGATCAACACTCCGCACTGCATGCTCATTTTGCAGCCAGCAGTTCAGAGTGGCGGTGAGTGTTTGGGATTGGACTTGAACGGGGAAATTTACGTAGTCTCCTTTCAGAGTGTGGTGATTCAAACATCCCATAGAGAAGAACCCGGAGGTATCCGGATCCAAGGAACTAATTTCAGTGCGGACTTTTTTTCCAATTTCCAAAATGGCGTCCATTCTTTTTAAGATTCCATCGGAAGTTTCAGTGCTGGGAAAAGGTAACAGTTTCGACATTATGAGCTGATAGTTGTCGTACTGGTTCTGAATCACAAACAGTGGCACGTTGTTCAGACCTCGCAAAGCATTTGTTCCAAAGATGCAGTTCCATGATGCGTTCTTTTCGTAGGACTCGCCACATGCTGATTGAACATTGACATTCCAAACTTGGAACGCTTGTGTTAGAGTATCATTAGTTATACATGGCATCGGAGGAGACTCTTCAAAACATGGGAAGTCATTTGCGAACTCTTCCGTGAACCAGGCATCATCGAGAATCACTCGAGTCTGCATGTTGCCAAATCCCCAGTCGTGGAGGAACTGCAAGATCTCTTGCATGTTGACGAGGATCCCGATTCCTCCAGCGCTGGATCCGACGAAGTGTATTGTATGATGCGGCTGCATACGGTGGTATGAGATGAGGTCCTGCAGAACGGAGAAGAGGATCTCCTTTCCTCTGAAGTAGACTCCGACTTCTGACCTGCCGGATGTGTTTCCGAGGAAGAGGTCGCTGGAACAGTAATTGATGTCCACCATGTTGTACTTCCAGAACAATCTAGAAAAATAATAGCCAGATTAAAACTCATGATTGCTGTCTTAAGCTGACAAAGATACGTCAAGGTGACAATAAGAATAGGAAGAGGCGTGTCGTCCATTTTGCGGTAGATGTTCGCCCTTTGAGATTCGAACCCACGACGCTCTTGTTGAAAGCCATGCGCCTAACCCACTCGCCTCTATCCGATAGATCTTGGTTTCGTCGCTGGATCCTACCTGTTAGTTGGGTCTGTGCGTAGCACTCCGTGACCTGTTTTGTTGTTTGGGATGAGCCATGACGTGGTCAGCATCTTGTTCATGTTGTTCCTGACGAAACAAGTTATGGGGTCATAGCAGAGCCAGCCAGGCTGCACAAACACCACCCATTGTTTACTTCGAGCATCGTGATAGTAGTAAGAAGCCCTAACAAACCACAACATCGACAATTAAAATAGTTGGTGTTGGCAAAATCATTCATGGCGGCCTTTATCAAATGCTAGACTGCCCAAATAAGAAAATAAATCAACCTCTTCGAAAAAATTAATTAAACTCTTCGAAGCTCCAAAACTAATTTCAAAGTTTACAGGAAATGCTTAATTATGTCGTAACCGTGTAGTAAATGCTAAATTATGTGATTGCTGGTTTATACTTCGGCAGGATTATATACCATGGAAAAAGTGCTTGAGGTTCTGAAACTCATTCGAACTGTCCCCCATGAAATGCTACGAAGATAGTTGAAAATTAATAACATCAATTTGACTTAAAATTGAACGCAAAACGAAAATTATTATTTGCTGTATAAGTTTATTTATTGAACTTCTGTATTCAAAAACAACGATCAGCCCTAGTTTTGCTGACACGTTTTACTGTTAGCTCGTGGTATACTTATAATTTTGATGCAACCAAAAACTTGAGCAAGCTTTCGGTGCGCTCCTCAAATTATATTGAATCATTAGAGACCAGGAAAGGATGCCTTTTGAAAAAGATAACAAAAAAGGCGTTTTCAACACTTTTTCTGATAGTCCTCAATTTTTGTTTCCAATTCATTTGAAAAGCTTCACTCTTGGAAGGGGGCAGACTACACCTTAGTTCATTTCCATAGACGAAGAAGGTGGGGAAAAGAAAGTATTGACTCACCTAGACCCGTCGTTGCATATAGCTCGGGGGTGTGATGTCTGTCTCAACTTCAGAAGAGGAGGCATCACTCCCCCACACTCTTTGTCGCAGTCAGTGATCTCGTCAATTAGAGCCTGAAGTTTATTCCTCTTCTTCCCTTTGCCCCCCTCCACACACCCTTTCCACAGCCCAATAGCCAACAGCATCACAACCAGAAGTCGAGTTATCAAGCCCATTGATAAGAAGTAAATGATAACTTTTCAGTATGAACAGAAATGGATCTAATTAGAAAATCTCTTTTCACGCGCAGTGCACTAATTTAAGATAGAAATCGAGCAAAGGTCAATTTATGTACGAAATATGATAATGTTCGATTTTTCCAATTTCAAGGCACTTCAAGCAACGACTAACTTTGAGTATCCTCGTCAAGCACAAGATTTTGTGTTTTCGTTTTTGTTTTCTGCTGTCTTAAAAGAGGCTATTGATTTATCTTGCGTGACAGTTCGATTTAGAACGTTGTTTGTACTTTTCGGCGCGAAAAATGTCTGGAGAATTTGCAAAAATTTATGGTAAATTTGCGATTACGCGCTGAGTGGTTCAAAGTTGAGTGCAATGTTTGAGATCTGAATGAGTTTTTGAGTGGCGACAATGAGTAAAAAAGAGAGAAAAGTTTGATCGGCGGTGTTTATTACCCGACTGATAGCCGCTTTCGCTTTGGTACGACTGCAACAAACTTTGGTAAGACTGGACTGCTTTTGGCACTACAACTAACTCGCCGGATCTAATTGGCGCTCGATTGTTTATCGTATTTCTTTCTTCTCAAAGGGAACAATAACACACGTACAAGAGTGACTTTAACAGCGACTAGCCGACAACTTCAAAGCAATCTGTCACAACAGCTCAGGTGTGCTGGTCAGAATAGCCGCCTAGCCTCTGATCGACTGACTACAGCTGCAAATAGTGTTTAACTTGGTAGCTGGTAAGGAACCACCTCTACAGTGTATTGTATTTACTCTCTCTCACTCTCTTTCCTTTTCTTCTCTTGTGACGATGAAAGCAAAAACATCATCTGTTTTGTGTGTTCTGTTCCGACTTCTAAATAAGGTCCTCACTACAACTGTTTGGAGAGTAGTCATAAACAAACATATCTCCCCTCCCCTTTTTCCATATTCCCTTTCATTCCCAAACAGCCGCTACTTCAATGCAATCAAAACACCTGTTTTCAAACAAGGCCAACTAGATATCGATCTAATACAATGAATAGCTGCCCACGTGTTGAACAGGGTCTTATAATCAAGTTCAAAAAGAGGCACAAAACAAGGAAAACATTTTGATTCTTTTGTTCGCTCGAGGCTTCGTAGCTGCCTCCCACTTTTCATCTGAATGCTAACAAAACACGCTCTGTTTTCCCAGCCAGCTTAAGCCAACCGGCTTCAAAAAGACTGGCAAAATCAAATTATACTGATGGTAATACAATGCCAGTTGGAACCAGAAGATCAGAGAATTCATAATTTAGACGGAGACCCTTTGGCGGCATTTGGATAAACACTGCCAATATACTCCGAAGAACTTCAAAGTAATCATTTTCCTATTAAAGGAAAAGTCAAACCCAATTGTAATTAAATACGCATGCTCAATTAAAGTTGTTTTCACTGCTGGAAACTGAGATACGGATCACTACAGAAGGTACGGCCCAATAAATTATGATGGGCGAGGTCGATATTTATGTCAATTGAGACCGCCCTTTTGGACGTTTACCTTAGATTTAAAGAAAAGGTAGTCAAAATGTTTCCGTTTTTCGGACTGATTTCTTAAGGGTGGCGCGGACGATCCACTTGAAAAAGTTGCTACTCAGTATGACTAATAACATCGTGCTCAGAAAAATTATCAGGGAGAACAAAGAAAAATGGCAGAAACTCAAAGAACCATAGGAAATTAGCTCAAATCGATCATCAGATTTAAAACTTCAATTGTTCCGAATAAAGTGCGGAATATTTTTGCTTGGTGTGGTTTTTTTATTCAGTCAACTTTCGACTTGTGAACTAAGCTTTTGTGATTGAATTTTTCATACTATCTGAGAGATATTGTTATCCTACGCTCAAATTTAAAAATATCACCTGTGATCATTTTTATTAAAGTTACAGGCGTTTGAAAACTGCTAATTTGGCCAATTTGGGATAATTGAAATTCGATATATTGTGTACTTATAACACGCGTAATAAGCAAATAAATGTGTTCCAAATTGAATTGAGGCCGGCAATTTAATCCTATTATCAAAATAAAATACGAGACGCCAAACACACCCTTAGGTTTTTAGATAGCAGATGGGGGGATAAAATGAAGAAAAAGGAAATTTTTTTTTTCTGAACTATGCAACCAAAAGAAAACTTTTCAATTGGCTTTAGCGCAGTCGGAACATTTAGGGCTTTGCCCTGATATACAAGCAGTCTTGTTTCCATCATAAATGTCTTGCATTGAAATTAGAAGCTCCGATGGAAAATCTGAGAACAGTGTCAGACTGGTCAGGCTTCAAACAATGTAAAAAACAAGAATATCCGGTTGCTGTGCAACTAGCACAATGTGTTCTGACCACTGCCATCAATGCAAAACATTCAAAAAAGCGAGACAGAAATTAGACAACGTTTTTGGAGCGGATATCAAACCTCTAACCAAGATAGTCGCAGAAAACACCAAAAAATCGCAGGAAAAAAAGTTCAAACGCAAATTTCGAAAACCAAAGCGCGCTGAGACGGAACCCATTAAGTAAAGAAAACATTGCAAAAATGCTAAAAAAGGTTCACCTGAAAAAAATTCAAGTTTCAACCGAACGATTTTTAATTTTATGAAAACATGTAAGGAAACAAACGTCAGGATTTTCTGAAAAATTATCGAACGACAACTGAGCCGACAATATTTAGGGGAAGACGCCAGTTGAACTGAAAATAAATATGTTGAAATGAAATCGCTTTGCCATAATGTTCTGACGCCCCCTCGGGAAATACAAAAAGATAAAAAATTCTTTTGTTTTTAAATAACGCAACTTGAGGCGAATGAGCCAATAAACAATAATTCTAAGCCACTCGAGCCGAATCAATCTTTTAAATTAAGAAATATATATAAAAGGTAGCTATACATAATCAGGGTGGGTTAACTTACAAATTACACGAATAAAATGAAATTACTTTCATTACAGAGGCGAAGCGGTTATTCGCACCGCAGCGACAATTTGCAAGCTATGTAAAAAAGGAAAGCGATAGATCATAAATTTCAAAAAAAAAATCACAACTACAAAATTGTTGACTGGAATCATGTTCAAGAAAATACGCCGAGAAATACAATCACCAGCATTGAATCGGCTTGCACAATTAATTAGCGAGCGGTAACTCAACCGATAAAAGTTAAGTAGAAAACTATTAGGTCGAAAACAAAAAAAAAATTGTCATCAAATTCTTTTGAAAATTCTGAAATTCTTAACTTTCACTCCCTTCTCCGGTAACACGATGCATAAAATCACCATGTCTCTCTTAAAAACGAAGAAAGAAGTCACTAAGCCGTGAATTGTAAGTGTAATTATAGCTTCAAAAAACTAAGGTGTGTGAATTAGAAAGAAGGTTTAGATTGGGGTGACTAGCGATGGCACTTTTAACAATACAAAACAAATTTCACACTGGCAAGTGTAATTATAGCTTCAAAAAATTAAGGTGTGTGAATTAGAAAGAAGGTTTAGATTGGGGTGACTAGCGATGGCACTTTTAACGATACAAAACATCCGAAACTGTACAAAAAATATACTACTATTACTACTCAATTAACTTCCATATTTGTTGAGTATATTTAATAATACAAATTTTATTTAAACTAAGATCTTACAGAACAGCCGCCCATTTCAGAACACACTTTTGAGTCACATTAAGGCAAATTTTAAAAGCTCTATAAAAGTTAAAGGGGCCAAAGTTCATGAGCCAAAAAATAAGGAAAACGATGACGTTTCAAAAAAGTTTCTTATAAGTCAAAACCAAATTTTCGACAGAGTCGAAGCGACCCTTCTCCCCAGTCGCGATACAACACAACAGAAAAACACAGCGTGCAGCCGAGAGAACGACAAATTGAAAAATAGCCCGTAACCATTTAATCCGAAAAAATCTTAGAGATAATCCTGAAAAAACTTTAATAGGAAAACATACAAAACCATAGGTGGTTAAAATACAAAACATAGCCAACAGCTAGCTAGAAAAGTGTACAAGAACAAGAAAACCGAGAAATTGACTGAAAGTTTCTGAACATTATCGACCTTTCGCAGAAAAAAAGCGTATCACGTTGACGCTCGCTCGTTAAGCCGTATAATTTTTTTTATGAATAACAGTTTTTTCGTCAAACTCATCCTATTTCGACAAAATTGGAAAAATATGTATTTTTTTATTGCGCTCTGAATTCAGAAAATCAAATTTTTGTTTTAAAATAATTTAAGCATTTGTTTTAAACATTTTTGTTTGAAATAAAAGATCGTTAACGTCATTCGTGACCTTAACAATTCTGCTTTGCGATAGAGTTTACCGTTATTTAACAAAAAGAAATAAAGTGTACCGAAGAAGAGTTTTTTCGTCAAACTCATCCTATTTCGACAAAATTGGAAAAATATGTTTTTTTTTATTGCGCTCTGAATTCAGAAAATCAAATTTTTGTTTTAAAATAATTTAAGCATTTGTTTTAAACATTTTTGTTTGAAATAAAAGATCGTTAACGTCATTCGTGACCTTAACAATTCTGCTTTGCGATAGAATTTACCGTTATTTAACAAAAAGAAATAAAGTGTACCGAAGAAGAACTCATGTCGAACCAAAAAAAAAAAACATCAAATCTGAGCATGAACAAAGTCTTTCGCTTGAAAACAAAACAATCAAGACCTAATAAAGTAAAAATTACTTAGCTCTTTCACAGTTAATGACAGGAATAATTCAAAAAGAATGTTAATCATGATAAAACTGCATATATTTACTCGCATGTATTAATTTGGAATGTAAGTAACTAAAGGTAAACACGCTAAATTTACAGGTAACTAGCATGTACCACACCTCCGGTGCTTCGAATTTTCAACAACTCAAAAAAACTATTCTTTGAGTGTACTCTGGCAGCACCCAATTACAGGGTTCGCAATTGAAAATTTTGCAAAATTTTTTCAAGTTTTTTATACAAATTTTGAAGAACCATAAAATTTTGTGAAGTTTTATAGAAGTTCTTCGAAAAAATTAAAATGAACTAAGAAACGTCACATCTGGAAAACTGGAAGCAATTGAGCAGTCGCATTTGGACGCAAGATTTGCAACTCCTGAGAGTAGTCTTACAGTGCCCAACTACAACGTTGGGAAATTCAAATTTTGAGAAACTTCACCTTAAGTTTTGTAAAAAGGTATTTTTTTTTGGAAACCAGAAAAAATTCATATCTCGAAAACTACCAAAACTTGAGCAATCTTTTTTTATGGCAATAGACGCAATTTTCAAAAATACACAACTACAGGTTTGGGAATTTCACTTAAACATATTTGAAATTTGAGTTTTCTGAAAATTTCCAAAAAATCACAAAAATCGTCGTATCTCTTAAACAAAAATGATTTGGGCATTCTTAATTAAAGGCCTAATTTGCAACCCGTGAGATTACTCTGACAGCCCCCAAACTACAGGTTAGGAATTTCAAACTTTCAATAAAAAATAAACTTAATTTTCGGGAAAACTTTTTTTGAAAAAATCACAAAAAACGTCATATCTGGAAAACTGCAGGATTTAGGGCAGTCCTATTTGGAGGCAAAATTCGCAGTCCTATTGTGAGGCAAAATTCGCACCTCCTGAGAGTACCCTGACAGAGCCTTTCTAAAGAGATGAGAAATTCAAGTTTTGCGAAATTTTTTATACTTAAGTTTTTTTGAAAAATTTTGAAAAATCCTTAAAAAAACGTCATATCTCGAAAACTACCAAAAATTTGAGCAGCCACATTCAGAGGCAAGATTCGCAACCCCCTGAGATTACCCTCACCGATTCCAATAACAGGATTGAGATCATCAAAGTTTTGGAATATTTTAACATTTAAGTTTTTAGAAAATTTCGGAGAAAATCATAAAAAACGTCATATCTCGAAAACTACAAGGATTTGAGAAGTGAGAATTGGAGTACCCTGGTGGTTGCGAAACATGCAAAAACAATACGTTAAAAAAGCTTAAGCATGGTGAGATAGTGAAGCCCGCATTTAAATATATAATAGATAGATAATAGACGAAAGTTAAAAAATTAAGCGACGGGTAGACAGACATAATCAAATTAGTTTAAAAAGCAGGTATACAGACAGATTTAATTTGGCCTCGAAAAAAATACTGAAAAATTAATTGCAATATATGCTATAGCTTAAACATGAAAAAATTCTTTCGTTAAACGTGCAAAATTATTATGCTTAAACATGGGAGATAGCTGTCACTC